ACAGCAACAAAAAGTTGATTTATTTACCAAACTACAAGCTAATGACATAAATACTGTAGAGCAGCGGCAGCACAAAAATAGTGAACAAATAATTCTAATGAGTATGAAAAAAATACAGGTGTGTGTCTGTGTGTGTGTGAATAAAAACGAGCAGCAGAAATTGTTTACCAAATACGCAGTATAAAAACTACAACATATTTTTGATGGACAACCTAAAAAATGAACTTTGATTATAGTTCATTTATATTATACCTTCAGCTATTTTTCATGACTTTCTGAAATCTAAACACACGTACACACACATGAATATATATTCTCCAATGTAATGATCCTTTACTCTATCACTTAAATAGTTTTAAATAATCTGTATGGCTTTCTAGTGATACAAATTAGACATAAGTATTTTTCATGTCATGTTCTGTAGGATATTGCAGACCATGTCAGGAAAGGTGAGAGGACGAGAGAGAGGACAGTGAGATTAATGACTCTGATGTCCTAATGATGTCTTAGAAGAAAAAGACAAACAGAGGTTCGGAACATTGAGCGATAAACAAAGATGTCATTGTTTCCCCTGGGAATGTGAGGATGTCTGAATGAGCAACAAACCTTTCCTCTGGGTACATTTAATATACTGCACTCCGATAGCAGTTATTCAAAATGGCAATTATTAAGACGACAGAGGGCAGGTAACGATGTGCTGTGATTTGTATAACCATTAACCTAAATAATGCACCTATCTCACATTTGTCCTAATGGATCACAGTGTAATGACATCCATTGACGTCACATTTGAGATGATCCGCATTGCAGTCACATGCAAATTTGTTCACGCCAGGCATTGTGGAAATGTGGAACTCTTTTTATTTTTTACTGTTGCATTTTCTGACAAATAAGAGTAAACAGAGGCAGTAATATGCTCATTGGTTGTTGAACTAGTTGCAAGCCAAGCTGTGAAGATGTGCATAACTCCCTCAGCCCCCCCAGGGACCCTGTATTTTCATGGGCCTGCCTCTGACGTCAATGCTCCGGCTGTCCTGTGGATTGTCAGAACAGACTATTCAGGAGGGGGGAGGGAACTGAAAGTCTCTGTGGTGTGTGTCTGCTGCATGTTTTGTATGTGTGTGCCTACGTAGGTGTAAGTATGCTCCTGTGTGTATAAGTGTGGTGTGGTGCTTGCATGTGATCTGTAAATGTTTCACTTACGTCTGACGTGCGTGTGTGTGCAGTGTGCAAAAAGCTTGTACAGTGCCTAAGTGGATAAGGTCTGTAATGTAGAGGTAGGGGGTAAGGCTGTGTGTGAACAAGCACACAGATGTTTGAAAAGGTGCAGCCCTTATGTTGGGAGACAGAGGCCATGGTCATCAGGAGGCTATTTGCTAAAACCGCTAAGATGAGAGCAGCTACGTGTGTCTGCTGACCACTTCACTCTTCAGTCGACTGTTGATCCCTCAGTGGACCATAGTGAAGCCATATGAACCCACTGCATGTGTTACATCCTATATGTGATTTCAGCTTCTTTCATCATCACCTTTTGATTTGATTTCCTTAAATGTTTCCGTAACACATGCTATTCATTCACAGATGGATCAGGGATTTTAGCGGCGGGATGATGTTGACCGAAAAAAGAGTGTGTACCACCTGTCCAAATTGATACAGATCAAGCTAGAGAGACTCCTCATGGACATTTTGAGGTTTTCTGTGATGCAGATTTAGCCACAAAATCCATCTGTTGATCTGTCTGGACTGAATGATCTAGCAGGAGAAAACTCAAGTACTTAAGTACAAATTTCAGGTACTTCATTTGAATATCAGGAACTCCACATTATACTTTCCCCAACTACATTTCATGTAGGAATATAGCAGTTTTCCAATTATTTGACAGTCATAGTAACTTTACAAATGAAGGTTATACTTCCAAGACATACGGTATAATGAGCATATCTCACTGATAAAGATTGAGTTTCCAAATTGTGAATAAAACTAGACCTGAGACAATTCCAGCTTCTCAAATGTTGCTATATCTTGTTATAAACAGAATCCTTTCTAAGATAATAATAATTAGCAAATTAATATTTCATGAAAAAACGATCAGTTACAGCCCTTTATATTTTGGCCAAGATTAGAGTAATACAACCTTGCTGAGATTCTTATCAAACCAAGAGGGCTTATTTAAACATAAAGTTTAGAGTACAGTACTGTACAGTTTACAGTAAGTTTACAGGTCAAGCTGGTCACTTACTTCCTGTTATGTAAGAATAATTTGGCTGCTCTGCCACTTTAGAGAGTCGTGGATAAGAAGGGTTCATCAGTGGGTCACAGACAAGAGTTGTGGCATTTCTCGAGCTCTGCTGCATTACCCTATAAGTTCTTCATCCGTAACCATTTCACATAAGCTCATAAACTTCCCATAGCTGAAGAGCAGAGAAGCCAAGTGTTCTCTGAGCTTCATCGACTCAGAGAACATTTTTTATGTTACATTTGAGAACAATTTTACCTCTCTTAATTATCCTCATTAGCTTGATAATTAACAATAAAATCCTATTAATGTTCTGAGGATTAAAACATGAAGTATGTTGAAGTTTATGTGTGCTGTGATATAAGTAGTATCCAAAGGATGTGTATCTATCCTCAAATTAAAAAAGCTGATAATGTTGCATGTTAATTGTTATATTTGCCCTAAATGAATTTTTTGTCACTCACATCAGCATTATCTGCATTCAACCTCCCAAATTTTGATCATCAGAAAATCCTAGTATTTGAAATGAACACAGACATTTTTTAATGCTGCATTATTACACAGAAGAATCAAAAAGCAGCTTCTTACATGTGGAACAAACTGTTTCAGTGTTGCCATAAACGTACATGTTGTTTTTACATTTAAGGGCTTTTCTCGCTGGACTAAAGAGGAGACGTGACAGAGTGTGTCAGAGAGAATCCCTTATGTTATACTACGTGACCTCTGAATAGACCCACTGCTCAGGAGTGTAGGAATGCTATGCTGACGTATCCAACAGCTGCCACACCTCTCTCTCGGCCTGTTTCTCTGGCTATAATCAGCATGTATTGCTGCGGCCATCAGGGAGTCTGGCACACTTTATAGTGTATCATATTGCCAACCCAGAGCTGCTCAGGTGCTCTCTGAGCATTGATAACCTGAACGCACATTTACTGAGGTGGTGGAGATAGGCAGCTCACTTCATTTGGCATCTGAGGTGACATCTTCACTTAAACTATTCATACAGATAAAACTGATTTGCTATACAACAGTGATAATTTACATGCATGTGGAAAAGTATTGACACTTTGTACATTTAATCTGAAATCAGATCTTTATGTATGTGCAGTCTGTTGATTTATGGGGCAAAGTTAATTCCACATCCAGACTGTTTTGTTCTACCAGTGTCTCATAAATCAATTATGTGTCTCTTTTCTGCATGAATATTCTTAGTGGAAATATAAACATCAGTGATCATGCATTCCTTTGGTACATTTGCTAGGAAAACACTGTCCAGTCAAGAGGGACTAAATATGGCCTTAAAAGAAAGCTCAAACAAATACAGGAAATCCTTTGACATTTGAACACTTGAATTTGAAGATTCCTCCTTGAAGAAGAGGAAAAAGAACTCTTGCATTTTTGCTCATCCTTCTCAAAATTGTGCTTCTGTGTATCCAGCATCCATTCTTATTTTCTCAATTGTCTTCTCCAGTCAGTGCAGAATGCAAAATGTTCATGGCCTGAATTTGAGGTTAATTGGTTTATTTTATTATCACTATGGGACTGGATAATATTATTAGAAGATTATAACTCTACTCTTGCATTCTAATGAGCATATATAAATATTTCATTTGTTCAGTAGCTGTGCAGTCTTTGCAGAGTTAGGCCTTTACTGAAGGAATGCACTACATTGCTTTATTTTATTTGGACAATTCAAAGCAATATTTAAATTAAAATGTATGTAAATGTGCTACTTAGTGGTGGTGGTGGCCTGGTGAAATAAATGAATTACATTCCTTTTGTAAATGCAAGCCTCTGCAGGTATTTGTAGTCAGGAGCTGGAATATCAACAGTGAACCAGAAAAAAATAGTGAAAGTGTGTGTGTTCAAATGTCTGACTATTATTTTCACCACACACTATTTGTGTCTTTTGACAGGCTTTAGGTGAAAACCTGATCAGAATGATTCATATTCATTAAATTTGGTTTAGCAGGTCCCAACCTAACTCTACAGATCGCTCCCTGTTTAAACTCTGTCACTGCCCACACTCTGGTTCAGTGCCTTGCTAAAGAGCACGTCGGTAGCCCGTGTTCTTACAACACTGTGCTGCTTCTTCTTAGTCAGTACACGTGAAAGTAAACGCTTCATTGCTTTGTCTTGCCATGCTGTAAATGTGAAGGCTGTTGCTGTCTCCTCCTTGACCACTGAGTCGTGGATCAGGAAACAGCAGCATGTCTCTGGAGGGCGCCGGGTGTATGGCTCTGCCCCTTTTACGCAGCCAAATTCAAGAACAGGAACAGCAGTGACAGCAGCTTTCCAGAAACAAGTGGAAACAAAGAGAACCTCCCCTTCAAATTAAAATAAATGTAGCCTTTTTTGCTGAAAAACGTTTACTAGATTCACGCAATATTTAAACATGCTGATAATCATTACATTTACTTCAGAAGACGATATATTTTGAATGCTTGGTGTCTGTGAAGGCTGCGATGGTGTCTCATAATACAAATAGAGCAAAGGAAAATTTTGCCATACGCATCGGAACTGTATGTGATGTTAAAGAAATCCCTGCAAAAATGTTCAATCTGCTTACATTCTTGTTCAATGTGATTGTGCTCGTACATCGTCCCTTACAATTTCATCTTTTTCCTTACTTTTATTTCGAAAGGTACTGTGGAAATCGTGCATAAATTGGTGGAGACTTCATACCGGCGCGCTCCTGTCTTTCTTCTCCCCTAGTGTGCGTGTGTGTGTACGTGTGTGTGTGTGTGTTTACTCCCATTTCTCTGAGTCTATGCGTCGTCGTCTCCGCTTTCCCAGTCTGCTGCTGCTGCACATCCACAGCAGAGTCACCACGCCGAGGAGGAGTATCGGACCGTAGCTACACCTCGGACAGCGGTGCTGGGTTATAGTGCTGGTGGAGGGGGGGTGGGGGCAGCACACTGCTCTTCTTGCCCTTCCTAAACCGTGCACAGCCTCAAGCACTGAGGACCCCGGATTAGTTTTGTGTATTTATTATTATTATTATTGCCCAGACGCACCAAGTTGCAGCTGCAGAGGCGCACTTTTCTCCGTGGCTCTTCTCCCCTTTTGCGCTCGCAATCCGAAATGGAAGATGGTCCGTCTTCAACAAGCTGTTTCAGAAGGTTAACGGACTGTTTCCCTGGTGCAAGTAGGTATTTTGATCCACACTTTGAAAGAATAAGAGAAATAAAATATAACTGAAACTGACGCAAACATATAAACCGCTTTGACTTTCAGTATCGCAAAAACATGAACATATTTCGGATGTTCTATATTTACTGGTCCTGCAGGCGGACATTATTTGCTCATCTGATTATGCAGCTTTATGAATGACAGATTGATAGCTGATCTAGATGGGTGGGGACTTCGCCGGAGGAGGACCAGGCAGGGCTGCAATTCAAAAAAGTACCGTGTGTATTTACGGTCCTCTTCAATAGAGCGAGTTTGTGAATTTCATCTCGGATTTGAGTTGGTCCGATCTGTCACGGCGGGGAGTGCTGCAGTGAGACATGGCATCAACAAGCGAAGTGTGAACAGCAAGAGCCGGAGTGAAGACAGAAAGTGTAAAAACGGTTTCTTCAAGAAAATGCAGTCTCAAAAGTATTCCCCTGGAATTGTGATATCAGGATTAATATGTTATTAGAAATAATATGATATCATAAATATTCTCTTATTTTCATATTTATTTAGCACCATTATTTTCACATAGGTGACAACTCATTCACTCATCCATAGCTGTGATTTATTTAGTGTCTTAATAAAATTCATCATCACTTTTATGTGAGCACTTTTCTTTTTTATTTTTATTTTAGCACAATTTAAACGTTAATGGGAGATTTCCTTACTAGTTATAATTAAATAATCTGCTCCTCATTGAGAAACTGGTGCCTGATAGAAAAATAAATATGCACAAAAGTTTGGGAATGCATTTGGAAATTTCTGCCACGACAGTAAATATCCACTGTGTTTGTTTATGATATACTTAGATTTCCTTAGAATGTTTGTGCTACTCACTGATGCATCCACTGCCCTTGTTGCATATTGTGTCTAGTTTTGTGTCTTTTCTGTGAGACGTTATTGTAATTCACTGTTTCTTCAATTACAGCTTACTCCGTCTATGTGCTACATGAATAATTACGGCAGTGGTTCCAGTTGTGTCAGTGGCACCTCAAGTGACCTTTCGTGGTAACCCTGTAATAACAAGTTAACAGTCTGGGGTTGTGAGTGATGCCAAAGTACACACACAGCAGTAAACGGCAGTCATGGAGTGTATTATTGAGGTACAGTGTGTAGGTATCCCACCCTCACTGCCCAAAAAAGGGTAAAAATTTCAGATTTCACAAAGCTTCCACACTTTGTGAATTTATAAACAACATTGGGTTGGTGTCAGAATAGATGTGGGTGGCTGTCAGAGTCATGTATCTCAAAGCAACATCGACTGTAAGATGAGCTTCTCAGTCTTTCTTATACTATTTTAACATTTTATACTTTCATGCTCTAAACAATTAATCCACACATTTGTTGACCTGAGAAAAAGCTCATCAGTGACTGTCCATCTTTGTTCCTCTCATTATTTTGCGTGACTAACATAGCTCGCATTTGTTTGTTTGTTTCTAAATGTTATACAGCTGTCAATTAATCTGGGTTTAATGTAGGATTAAAACGCCAAACTGTTTGCCTTCTCACTGCATATTTCTGTCTAACCTGTTTGGGATCAGGAAATAATTTGATTATACTTTAGTCAAGGCTTTTTGGCAGTGACAAAAAACACATTCTGAAGTACAATACAAGTCATTATATGCCCCACATGTTTTTAGAGCACTATTTGCATAGCCTGCTTTCTGCAAATATTAGACATGTGATAGTCCTGGGATATTAAAGCTGTATGTAGCCTTGCATTGTGGGAATATATATATACAGTATATGTGTGTGTGTGTGTGCATTGTTTGGGGACAGTTTTGGTTAGTATCAGAGGTCATTCTGGGTCAGACATAATGTGATCTCTCATGCATTTTCAAACCCAATTGGTTGTCGACGAATTGCTTAACGTAGTGAAGAAGTCTGCATTGTCAGGCAGGAAGTGCTCATACTGGATATTTTCTGCCCCACCATGTGCCTTTTCTCTCACAGTGAGGACTCCTCTCAGCACTGTCACTGAATATATAAAATATATATAGCGCTTGACGTGATGGTGTTAAAACCTGATTTGACTGAATAACTAATCCCAGAGCGCAGGTTCTCTCTCGTTCTCCGTGATATGTCTTCAGTGTTTACTTAAACTCTCAGGGAATTCGAGCCAAAGAAAAGTAGCTTGTTATGCAATTTGAATCCTTTCTTATATCAAGATCTGTGCAGGACTGGATCGGTGCCAGGGTACGGTGCAGAATCTGAGGGGTCAAACACATGACATTTTCCTCAAGGCGTCCATTGACCCCCGTCAACTTGTCTCGAGTTGGTATCTGAGGGGATGGGAAAAGGCCACATGCGTGTAGATTTCTTTACAACTTGTCCTCGTGTCAGGGCTTATGAAAGAACATGGCACTGGAGAAGATGCAAGGATCTGTGGTTCTCATTACTGGGTCCCCACTGGCCCCTCTGCAGAGCAATTGTAGAGTTCAGCTTCAGTCCAGATGTGGAGCAGGGAACATGACCCTTGATTACTGATGTGGCTCTGCGGATGGGGGGGAGGTGCAGAAGGAGTACCACATCAAATCACCAGTTTGGGGAGGATGCTGATTCTGAGGGAGAAACTCCAGCTTTAGCTATAAGGATCATTATCAACAACGATGTAGGCTGTGTGATCTATTACCTCCAGCTGTCATTCAGTGTCCTCTCACTGGAGGAAATACACAGTAAGGTTTTGAGCTGAAGGTGTAGGTTGACCTGCTAAATGTCTGTAACTGCAGTTTGAATGTTGCTGCATGTCTGTGACCACACTATTAGGCTGTGGATCAAGGAACATGCCTTATCTACATTTCAGTTTGCCATTTATAGCCCTTACCCTTTATGTCTAATGACCTGGACCATGGAGGTGGAAATAATGCAAATTACATTTCCATGGAAATCTCCTTCTCTCTGTCTATGTGTGTGTGTGTAAGAGAGAAGTGTGAGTTTGCATGTTTGTGCAGCGGTGTTTGTTTTTGCCCTGTGGGGGTGTGTCTCTGGAAGTGATGGGACTGCAGTTAGTCCAGAGTGAAACAGCATTTTCTTAATCCTTTTCATTGAGTGGCGTATCGATTTAGCCACACTGGTCACCTCACCTTTGGCTCATGTGAAATGTTGGGGTTGTGTATATGTGTGCATGTGTGTTTACCTGCACATAGCCAGTTTCACTGACGCAGGCTCAATGAATTAGTGAGGTGAGCAGCGGGAGAGGAGTCAAAGCATTTTAATCTTCAGGGTACGCTCTTTTCCTCCTCTTTGCCGCTCGCTGAATGGACACTGTGCTTCAGTCCTCCAATAGATAAGATAAGAACCACATGCTCTTACCACCTCCTGGCAAGGGAGTCCCAGGCGGACCTGCTGACGCACGCACCCAGCAGCCCCCCTCCTCTCTCCCCCTTCCTGCCTCACTTCATGTCAGGAAAGTGAAAAGTAGTACCTTGGCAGCTTGCCCTTGACTTCCAGCCAGAAGGAGAGCGCTGCAAGAGAAGTGGTCTTTTCCCTTTTTCTCTCATGTGCGTTTTTCATCTGTGTGTTGCAGAGGAGGAACATCTTGCTCACTAAACATCGGCGCTGCTGGTGCTGGCCACAGCTGCTGACGTAGCGCCCGACAGGAGCACAGAGGTCTTACATAGCAAGAATAAAACAATTCAACTAATCCTAAATTGAAAAAAAAAATCGATGAAATGTACTTATAACCCCTTTTGTGCATAAATAACTTTAATAGCAATCCAGGTCAAATGAAGTCAACCCTCATCTCCAACTACAGTGACCGCCCTCCATCTAGCTGAGTCAGTGCCTCATCAACTCTGTCTCAGCTGAGAAACCTTGTTAACCAGGCTGTACCCCCAGGTTGTGTCATGTCTTTTGCACCCAAAAAAGCTTCATCTCCCACTTCTAACCATAAACTTAACCACCTCTGGTATAACACCTCAGTCTAGCCACTTTCTTTATGCGACTTGATGGCAAAGGGTCAACCTGACCAGCTAAATTCAGAGCAAAACATTTTTGAAATGCTGTATGTTCAACTCTGTGGCCATGATATTTAAAAAATATATATTTTCTGTACTAAAACTTTTGAAAATAATTTTTATTAGACATAATTGCATGTTATGGTTATCATGGATTTCTTTTACCAATCATATTTTTCCAGCTGTAAAGCATAAACACTGCCTCAGTATTTGGAAAAAGCTCACACAATGTTGCATGCTGTTGCATTTTACACTCCAGTGATTAGATTATAGTCCACAATGACTTTGATCATCCTTTACCACGGACAGGCCACACCCAGCTTCACTGATGAAATCACAGTGGTTTCTGAAAACTGTGATGGGTATTTTTTACTATTACTGCCATTATATTGACTAAATGATCATTCAGTGTATCAAAAAATAATTTGACAGATAGATGATAAAATTCATCTAAATTACACTGAAACCGTGAACGAGCTGCTTTGGGTAAGAACGTATCTTGGATTGGATGAGCTTTCTCATCACAGACACTCACATAATGAGAAACTCTCATTTTAAAACCCTTCAAGTTAAAAAGAGACAAAATAGGAAGTTGATCAGTGGAGACATCCAATGCGCTCACCACTTCTGTTCCTCAGCACTCGCAAGACACCCATGTTGCTTAAAAACAGTGAGAGAAAAAGAGGTTGTGAGGGCTTAACTCAAATAAAATATGAAGGGTAAATTACAGACAGAATGGATGACAGAAACAAGACCTTACTTCGCTGGGGTTTCTTGTCTGTTTCTGTTTTCTGAAGGAGCTTAACGAGACATCTGAAATACCCCGGGGCTTTTCCTCTTGTACGCCATTGACAAAGGGTAATCTGCAGAGTGTCTCATTACAAATTGATGAGTCCTTTATGACATCTCACTACAACCTGAACTCAATAGTGATGATAGTTTAAATACTTTAAAGTTGTTATACATACCCTGAGAAAATACTGAAAGCACGTTTTATTATACAGTGAAGTGAATTAGAGATTACAGCATCTCTATGATCCATTTACTTTTCCATATAAAATCAGACTGCAATCAATTGATTTTGTTAATAAAAATGCTCTTAAACTTTAATTGGAACACTCAGTTTACTATTTTGAACTTTTGTCAGGATGTTTTGATGCCTGAAAATCAATAACATTAACTGATGGCCCGTGCTGACTGATTATAACCTCATTCCCTGTAAAAAAGGAGTGTGTGAGCACAGAAACCCAGACAGACTATAACTGCTTTGGCCTTCCTTTCCTAGTCCCAGGGCGTGGTGTGCTGTATTCAAGATAAGTGTTATGCAACAATATCTAACTGCATGAACACAGGCTTCACTTTTTACACAGGAAGCCCAAGTCTGAGTCAGGCATTAAAATCTCTGCCAGCTTTAGCCTCAAACATGCTGCACAACAAACTGCTTCCCACCTACTGTATATGTTTGTCTGAATGAGCAACATCCTTTGTGCACAGATGTGTGAAGTCCAAAGGAACATCTACTTTGAGAGTTTCTATTTTATGCTATATTTCCACTCCGCTTTTCACTCTAATACATTCATATGGCAATTCAAGATTTTATAAATTTGATGCATATTTGAATTACAACACATTGTTAAACACCAGTAGTTCCATCTATTTGGTCTGTGACCCCTCACAAAAAAAGCATTGTCT